TCAGGTAGCCCCGCCAGAAATAAACCAGCTAGCTGCTTGTCATTTAGTTCTAAGCCATAGCCAGCGGTCTGCACAATCCTATTCATGCCTTGAAGTTCGGACATGTACTTCTGCATCCTTACTTCTGGTGTCTTGATAGTGTTGAACATGTCCTTCATGATTCTCAAACACTGGGTCAAGGTATACGTAGTGAGAATCGCCTTTAGGTTTTCCCACGCGTCTTTGGCGAAGGTACAAGACCCGATGTCTTCCATAAACTCAATCTCAACATGTTTCCAAAGGAAACTGAGGGCTTTTCTATTTTGCCGTGCCTGGTCGATGTTCAAATCTCCAACTTCGTCGACATCCCATCCAGGATCAATGGCATTCCAGCAGTGTAAACTTACTAGTTCTGACTGAACCAGTAGAGTCCACGCGTAATAATTGCTGCCATTCAATTTTGGTACGCCATCTCTAGCCACTTGTTCTTCGTCCGCCATGACACTTGTTGCTTAGGCCGGGGCCGGCCAGCTTATCTTCTTTACTCTTCGGCTTTCTTCTTTTACTGCTGAAGCTCAAATCAGTTTTCTTCGTACAAGAGGCCCATAACCTATTGATATTCAGGGGTTGATTCTGAATTGAGCTTCAGGTAATTAAACTTCTTTACACAGGGTTTTATTCTTCTTAAATGGCACAATACAATGGCACGTTACAGCTTCACACTTACACTTCTCTCAGACAACAAACCGACAGGACGGAAACAGGAAGTGAGTCAAAGAGGAACAAAAACTACTACGTGAAACAAAGAAACTACTACGTGACTCAATACAATGACTAAACAATAATTATGAATTGACTATGACTTCCGATATGAGTGAGTGAGTGAGTATAAGAGTGAGTATAAGGTGGGTGGTAGGGAGGCGGTGGTGGGTGAGATGAGGGGGCTATAGGGGGTGAGTGAAGCGAGAGTCGAAGAATCTCCACCCACCACCAGCGCCATCCGCAGCAATGCTCAGCAGTGGTGACAGGGGGAGGGGGGGCCGTACGGGTCGAAGGGTGTTGTGTCTGATTGAATTGACCCGCCAGGCCACGAGCGGTTCCGGCTCCAGCGCGGCAGGGGGTGGGGCAGCCCAGCCGGTGGCAGCCGGTGGAAGCACAGCAGTGGAAGCTGAATAAACCTGAGCCGACCTGCTCCGCCCGCCCCCGCGCGCTCGCCGCGAGTAAAGAGGTGAGAGAGCCGATCTGCGCGACACACAACTCTTCCGCGCAGCAACGGGGAGGAGGGACTGAAGAGAAGATCCTCCTCCTGGTGGCCACTGAAAGAAACCAAAGGCGGCGGGATTTGCACACGCACTAAATCTTGCCCGAATGCATTATTTTAGCAACTGCTTGCAAGGGGCAAATTTAGTTTCTGGCAAACAAACATCTCTGAGTCATGCCCGGTGGGAACCCAAGGTCAAAATTTTGACTTAAATAGTTCAAAATGATGTCGTGCATTTTGACTGTTTCCTCCTTGGGTGGCTGCTGCTAGGCACGCAGGGGGCGAGGCGCAGCAACCCTGCAACCGGCCAAAAAAAACAAACAAACAAGTCATAGGAGTCGCGCAAAAGGTCAAAGTGGGGCACCGACTGATTAAGGGAGCCAAGCCTCTTGCACACGAGGCGGCACGGCCGAAAACCGCCAGACAGACAGACAAACAAGCAGACGGTGCCGGCGGACCTGCGCATGGACGGTCATGTCGACGTATATATTCTCACAGGGAGCGTGGCGGGTCACCAGCGAGAGCTAAGGCCGGAGGTTGTGAGCCGCGTGTAGTAGTACGAGGTGGACCCATATCCCACGTGAGAGTGACTGTGACCTGTACCTGCCTGTACCAAGGTGGCTCTGACTCACGCGCCGCACTCTTTCGTTACCTGTTCATTGCATGCGTGCGCAATGGGTTGCCTACTCGCACGGGGCCCTCAGGCGCCATGGGCGGCCGGGATAGGCAAACCCGCCCCCACAGGTGCATGCGGTACATTTGAATAACCGGGGAGTCTGGGACTGGTCCAAAAATTTGTACATATAAAATTGTCTATGCACTGCACAGCCATTCTGATTGCGTGTTTCCGATTGTGTGTGTGTGTGTGATTGCCTCCGATTGTTTCAGAATGTTTTCTATACGACGGTGATCAGTGAAGCTACAGCCCAGGTAGCAGAGCTGCATAAAATGTGCATTTTGTGTCCAATCTAAAAATCGCCTAAAACGCGTGTAGGCGCCGAATATGTGCGTACATGCGCCTAAAATGTGCGTTTCAGATGGGACATATAATGCGGTTCGAATGCAGTTTGCTCCATTTTGCTACCTGGGAGCGGTACCCAAACCTTATCTGTATCGAGTGTGACTCGAGTGTCGTTGTCGTTCGAATCAATCTTGAGGGTCATGTGTCGTCAATGTTGTTTTGCCTTCGTCTTAAACGCGTCAAGTGGGTCGTGATTAACCTCGCGGAATATTGTCGTGGAAAAAAGAGGGGGGGGGGGGCTATCAGTAGGATAACAGGATGTGCGGAAACTGGGCAGACTGTTGTAAGAGTAAAGTCTATTCCACTGGAAAACAAAGGCAGGAATAAGCAGACGTCAATCGTCTTTCAAAGGCATTAAAAATTAGCACTCCTAGAAAGGAGATATACATTTTAATTCCTTTAACACTTTCCTGCCTTTCCAAGCCGCCTTTAAAATTTAACAACCCTTAGTGGTTAAGGATTTAAGTCCTATACCTTTATTTTTCCAGTGTTAACTTGGTGTTCATAATTGTAGTAGTCACACCATGATAGCAAGAATGCAGTACTGCAACTGCAGTGTGCTTTTTTTTTTTAAACTGGATAAGAAGCAAGGTGTAATCGGGTTGCGATCGGAATTTCAATAGAACATGATCAGATTCTGTAAAATTCCGATGATTGCAGTTGTATTTGCATGATTGCGGATACATTTCTGGATTCAAGAACATTTTCGGGCACAAGTTGTGGCCTTCTCGGGAGTTTCGAGTGACCACATCCGCCGGGGCAGAACCAAGGCATAAAGTCCTCGACCAGTTTTTTTGTTTTTGTCTCATCCGGGGTTGGGCACATATCACGCGACTATGTAGTGGTCTAAGCAATTTAGAATACTAGCCTATAGCTTTATTATTAGCTGAGAGACCTCAAAAACGACGTTTTCTGATTATAATTTTTTTAAAAAGGAACTAGCTCGGAATTAGCTGTGCAACAGCTATTATCGGCACATATCTTAGCTCTCGTGCCGAATGATTAGCTATGCAAAGCTAATATTGTGAGCTAAGACCAAATCAGCAAATAAATTAGCTATCTTGAACCATTCTTTTCTATTTCGTGTGCGTATGTGACCACGAGGTGTGTGTCAGTGTGGCGTTACCAGACTGCGCCAGTTCGTGCGAGGCCAGGTGCGGCGCAGGTCCAGGAGGGCCTCTTCGATACGGATGGGCTATTATCGGCTTTTAATCGCGCTGCCACGAGTGGCGATGTCCGCCAGGACGGCGACGACGGCCCCGCGGCGGCGGGTAGAACAGGACCGGGATGGCGGCGTCGTCGGGGCAGTGCGGTTCCTCGGCACGACCCGCGAGGATGGCGTCGACGACACGACCTGCTATCGCCCTGGTGCTGGCACTGCTCGTCGCCCTGGCTGCGGCCGCCAGCGCGGCCCCCTCCGCAGGTCGGCGTTAATAATGACATTTGCTTTTAACGGTATTACACCCAAGTGTGTGAATGTCACACACTAGTAG